GGGGAGTGAACCAAAGAATGGAGGCTCTCTCCCTCTCTGTTGCTCATTCCAGAGGAACAATTAAATAAGTCTTAAAAACAAACAAACAAACAAACAAACAAAAACCTCCCATCAAAGAAAAGCCCTGGATCTAACAGCCTCCTTGGCAAGTTCTACAAAGCATTTATAACCTTAATACCAGTCTTTCTCAAACTGTCCAAAAACTTGAAGAGGAGGGAATGCTTCCAGATTCATTTCATGAAGTCAACAATTACCCTAAATCCAAAGTCAGAGAAGAACACTATCAGAATAGAAAATTATAAGCCAATATCTCTGATGGAGATAAATGCAAAAATCCATAATAAATACTAGCAAATTGAATTCTACCACACATTAAAATGACCATACAGCATGAAAAATCAATATTTTAAAAATTATTATTTATTTATTTTTATTTCTCTGAAAGACACACACACACACACACACACAACACACACAGAGGGAGAGAGAGAGAGACAGAGATCTTCAACCCACTGGTTCACTCCTCAGATGCCCACAATAGCTGAGGTTGGGCCAGGCAGAGCCAGGAACCCAGAACTCCATCTGGGTCATCCACATAGGTGGCAGGAACTCAACCTCTTGAGCCATTACCTGCTGCCTCACTGGATCCCAGTAGCAGGAAGCTGGATGGAAGTGGAGTAGCTGAGACTCAAACAGGCATCCCAGCAGCAGTTGAACCCACTATACCATAACACCTGTCCCAGGATTTATCTCTAATATGCAAGTTTGGCTCAACATACGCAAATCAATGTGATAAACCACATTAACAGAAGGACAAAAATCAAACATTCAAAGCATTTGACAAAATTTAACACCCATTCATGGTTTTTAAAAAATCAACAAATTAGATATAAAAGCATTGTTCCACAATATAATGAAGGCTATACATAACAAGGCAACAACTCACATCATACTGAATGTGGAAAGTTGAAAGATTTTCCTTTAGGATCGGGAACAATGTGAGGATGCTTATTGTTTAATGCAGTACCGAAAGTCCTAACCAGAGCAATTGGCAAGAGGAAGAAATAAAAGGTATTCAGATCAGTAAGGAGTTAGTAAAATTGCCTCTGATTGCAGATTACTTGATCTTGTATACAGAAAACCACACAGACTCCTTAAAAAAAAAAGCCTGCTGAAAATAATAAATGAACTCAGTAAAATCATAGGATACAAAATCAACAGAAAAATCAATTGCATGGGGCAACAGACATTTAACTTCACCCACATCTTATATTTCAAGCTAATGTCCAAAATTTAAAATTCTCCAGCTCTGAAAGAGACAAAAATACATTTTATATTCTCTGTATCTCATCTGTTAGGTTCTCATGCCTGGAGAAGCTAACGCCAACTCAATATGTGATAAGTCAATTTGTAAAATAAATCATGAACCTGGAAAAAAAAAATAGGCAAAGACCTGAACAGACATTTCTCAAAAGAAGCCATACAAATGGCCAAAACCACAAGGTATCACCTCACAACTATTTAAAGGGCTTTTTATTTTTATTTATAATTTTCTTTTTAAAAATATTTATTTATTTATTTATATGAAAGTCGGAGTTACACAGAGAGAGAAGGAGAGGCAGAGAGAGAGATCTTTCACCCACTGGTTCACTCCCCAGTTGGCTGCAATGGCTGAAGCTGAGCTGATCCAAAGCCAGGAGCCAGGAGCTTCTTCTGGGTCTTTCATGTGGGTGCAGGGGCCCAAGGACTTGGGCCATCTTGTACTGCTTTCCCAGGCCACAGCAGAGAGCTGGATGGGAAGTGGAGCAGCCTGGACTCCAACTGGCGCCCATATGAGACGCGGGCACTGCAGGTGGCGGCTTTGCTCACTATGCCACGTGTCAGCCCCTATCAATTATTATTTTTTTATTTATATTTTTTTACAGGCAGAGTAGACAGTGAGAGAGAGAGACAGAGAGAAAGGTCTTCCTTTACCGTTGGTTCACCCTCCAATGGCCACCTTGGCTGGTGCACTGTGGCTGGCGCACTGCGCTGATCCGATGGCAGGAGTCAGGTGCTTCTCCTGGTCTCCCATGCGGGTGCAGGGCCCAAGCACTTGGGCCATCCTCCACTGCACTCCTGGGCCATAGCAGAGAGCTGGCCTGGAAGAGGGGCAACCGGGAAAGAATCCAGCGCCCCCACTGGGACTAGAACCCGGTGTGCCGGTGCCACTAGGTGGAGGATTAGCCTATTGAACCACAGCGCCGGCTCCCCTATCAATTATTTTATTTGAGAGGCAGAGAGACAGAAGAGAGGGACACAGAGGAAGCCGGTTCACTCTCCAAATGCCTGCAGTGGCCATGGCTATGCCAGGACAAAGCCAGGAGCCAGGAACTCAATCCATGTCTTAGGTGGGGATGGCAGGGACCCAAGAACTTGACTCATCGCCTCTGCCTCCCAGAGTGCGCATGAGCAGGAAGCTGGGGTCATGAGTGATGCTGGGACTCTGACCTGCGGTGCGAGCATCCCAACTGTTGCTTAACTGTTAGGCCAAACACCCACCCCGAGGAGGGCTGTGGTTGAGAAGATGAAAGGCACATGCTGACCAGGAGGTGGAGACAAGGGAACCCTTGCACGTGGTTTGTGGGAATGTAAATTAGTACAGCCGTGTGGGAAAACGTATGACAGCTGCTCAAAAACTAAAAATAGGACTGCTAGCCATGAGTCCAACTTCTGGGTATATTTCTCGGGAAAATGAAGTCAGAATACCAAAGAGATAGCTGCACTTCCATGTTTATTGCATCATTACTCATATGATATGGAATCAGCGTAAGTGTCCATCAGTGAACGAATTGATTTAAAACATGTGGCATATATACACAAAATAATGCTACTCGGCTTTAAAAAGGCTGGCAGGGGGTAAATCATATCACTTGCAACAGCATGGATGAACCTGGAGGATATTGCGCTAACGGGAAAAAGCCAGGTAAAGAAAGACAACTGTGTGGTCTCATTGCACCTGGACTCTGTAAAAGATGAGCTCACAGAAGTAGAGAGTGATGTGATGGTTTCCAGAGGTGGGGGCAGGATGAGGAAGAGGGAATGGGGAGATGCTGATCAAAGGATTCCACGTTTCACATACACAGGAGGGATAGGTTTCTAGATCTATCGCACAGCAGGGTGACTATAAGGATTTTATATTTCTTTCAAAAATGTTTTTATTTATTTATTTTCATTTATATTTAAAATATAATATAAATATAAATATATATGTGTGTGTATATATATATATATATAGAGAGAGAGAGAGAGAGAGAGATCTTCCATCCACTGGTTCACTCCCCAGGTGCCCACAGCTCCTGGAGATGTGGGCCAGGCTGAAGCCAGGAGCATGGAACTCAAACCAAGTCTTCCACATGGGTGGCAAGTACTCGAGCCATTGCCTCACTGCATATTAGCAGGAAAGTGGAATCAGAAGCAGAAAAAGGACTCAAACCCAGGCCCTCTATTATGGGATACAGATGTTCCAAGTGATGTCTTAAACACCAGGCCAAACGTCTGCCCCAATATTTGAAAGGCAGTGTTACAGAGAAAGAAAGAACACACACACACACACACACACACACACACACACAGATCTTCCATCTGCTGCTTCACTCCCCAAATGGCTAAATGTCTGGAGGCTGGGCCAGGCTGAGGCCAGGAGCCAGGAACTTCCTTTGAGTTTCCCATATGGTTGGCTGGGGCCCAAGTACTTGGGCCATCTTCCATTGCTTTCCCAGGTGCATTAGCAGGGAGCTGGATTGGAAGTGGAGCAGCCAGGACTGGAACTGACACTGATATGGGACGCTGGCATCATAGGCATCAGCCTAACCTGCTGCTACGCCACAATGATGGCCCCTGTGTATTTCAAAATAAGGGAGTAAATTTCAAACGTCTCACTCTAAAAATGATAGAAAAGAGAGGGGACAGATATGTTGATTAGATTGATTTAATCTTGCCACATTGAATCCATACAGGAGATTTCTCTTCCCCAAAGATATTTATTTCCTAGAGCGCCAGTGAGTGCTTGAAACCATGGATAGCACTAAACCTATACATACTATGTTTTCCCTATATATACATTCCTGTGATGAGGTTTAATTTATAAATTAGGCATAGTAAGAGATTAACAACAATAACTAATAATCAAACATAACAAATGAAACAATAAACTTGCACTGTGAGAGTTGATCTGATCATGGAGAGGGCTTACTAGGACTAGTGGGCAGGTAACATACGCATATAGTATGGACATGCTACACATATATGTATGGCGCAGACATGCTTCACATACACACATGGTAGACACACTGCACATACACACACGGCACAGACATGCATGTAGCATGTCTACATGTAGCATGTCTACACATGGCACAGACACACTACACAGGCATGGCATATACATACTACACATACACACATGGCACAGAATGCTAGGCATAATGCATGGCAAGACATGCTACACATACACACATGATGCAGGCATGCTATGCATACACACATGGCAAGGCATACTGCAGATACATGTATGGCACAGGCATGCGACACATACACACATACCACAGACACGGTATGAATACATGAATGACAAGGCATGCTATACATACACCCATGGCACAGACATGCTATGCATACACTCCTGGCAAGACATGCTATCCATACATGTATTACATAGGCGTGCTGTGCGTACATGCATGGCACAGATATGCTATATAGACATGCGTGGCATGGACATGCAGGACAAAGGGATGATTCACATTCTGGTGTTGCAGAGTGGGGCTGGCAGAGGCTTCATTAGATTGTTCAGAATGATGCACAAGTTAAACTATAAACTGTTTATATCTGAAGTTTTTACTTAATGTTTTTAGACCTTTGTTGATGGTGGCTAAAGGGGGATTATCGTGCATAAAACATTATATTATGCCCCATATACATGGATATAATTATTACTTTATCAATCCACAGTAACATTAATTTTTTAAAATTTATTTGACAGATGAGTTAGACAGTGAGAGTGAGAGAGAGAGAAAGGTCTTCCCTCCGCTGGTTCACCCCCTAAATGGCCAACATGGCCAGTGCTGTGCCGATCCGAAGCCAGGAGCCAGGTGCCCCCTCCAGATCTCCCATGCCAGGTGAGGGGCCCAAGCACTTGGGCCATCCTCCACTGCCTTCCCGGGCCACAGCAGAGAGCTGGACTGGAAGAGGAGCAACTGGGACTAGAACCCGGCGCCCATATGGGATGCCGGCGCCGCAGGTGGAGGATTAACCAAGTGAACCATGGCGTCGGCCCCACCATTAATTTTAAAGAAGTAATAAAGGTAGTGTTGAAAGGGCGCTGTTGGGAAATCAGGTGTCCAAAATGCAGTAATTCTCTGAACTGCAATGTTCTTATCTGTAAAACACAAAAGAAAGCAACAAAGATGATGTTGTTTGGCTTTTTGTCAATCATACCTACTAAAGCCAAAACAATCACAAGTCACTGTATGCATCACTTGGCTTTCTGTGAACTTTGCTCCTGGGGACAGCTGCCCAGGAAGGGAGAAGTACATTTCAGCTCAAGGAGTTTCACAGCCCCAGATCAGGCAGCTCCAGGAGTCTGCTGTCTGACTCAGGCATTGGGTGGCAGAATGTGTGTTGAGGGAGGATCATGGGCAGCCAGGAAGCAGAGAGGAGCTGAGCTGAACTCAGCTAAAAAGCCAGCCCTCTTGAGACACGCCCCCAGTAGCCTGAAGACCTCCCACTGGACCCGTCTGCTAGGCACCATAACTGCATCAGCTCTCTCTACCCTTACTCCATCAACCATTAAAATTAGCCCAGCAATTTTGGGGTTTAAACACCTGCACCACATGCTCTTCAGACTGCAACACCTCATCCGTGTGTTTTTGTATTAGGTTTTGGTGTACACTACAGTGGCCTTGGACTGGGAGAGATGTTCACGCCCTCCCTGGGACATTTGGCAATGTCAGTGGACATTTTTATTTTCATGACGGCAGGAGGATGCTACTGGTATCTAGGTACGGGACGGGGAGTATTCTGAACTGCCCCGAATTGCTGGTATGGCATTGAGAAGCCCTGGTCTGTGGGAGTATGTAGCAAACCATTAGCAATCTCTCGAGTGTTGATGGGGGTTAGGGAGCTGTTTGAGGGGCACGTTTCATGTTCTTTCCATGCGATTTAGTATTTTTCTTACCCTCTCCAAATACAAAAACTGAAAAGTTTTTAAAAGCTTGAGTCTCAGGGCTGGCGCTATGGCCTACCCGGTAAAGCCGCCACCTGCAGTGCTGGGTCAAGTCCTGGTTGCTCCTCTTCCGATCCAGCTCTCTGCTGTGGCCTGGGAAAGCAGTGGAGGATGGCCCAAGTCCTTGGGCCCCTGCACCCACGTGGGAGACCCAGAAGAAGCTCCTGGATCTTGGCTTTGGATCAGCTCCTCCAGCCATTGCAGCCACCTGGGAAGTGAACCAGCGGATGGAAGACCCTTTCTCTCTCTCTGCCTCTACCTGTCTGTAACTCTGCCTTTCAAATAAGTAAATAAATCTTATATAAAAGAAACACTTGAGTCTCTTCATCACCTCCACTTATATATCTATTTGTAGTTTCTTTTAAGATTTTTATTTATGTATTTATTTGACAGGTAGAGTTATAGACAGTGAGAGAGAGACAGAGAGAAAGGTCTTCCTTCCGTTGGTTCACCCCCCCCCCCCCCAAATGGCCGACACGGCTGGCGCTGCACTGATCCGAAGCCAGGAGCCAGGTGCTTCCTCCTGGTCTCCCATGGGGTGCAGGGCCCAAGCACTTGGGTCATCCTCCACTGCCCTCCCAGGCCACAGCAGAGAGCTGGACTGGAAGAGGAGCCACAAGGTGCCCACAAGGGATGCCGGCGCCACAGGTGGAGGATTAACCAGGTGAGCCACGGCGCCGGACCCCTATTTGTAGTTTCTTTGTGTACCCTTTCACAACATATTTATACATTAAAATAATATATAAAATAATATAGTAACATAAGTATATTAATGTACATTAGTATATAAGATACAAATATATTCTATATAGGTATACATAATATATAAATATATTTATATAAATATAGAAATATTTTTAATGTCTTTTTCTTTTCCATGATAAAGTAGTATGTTACATTCTGTTTAATGCTTTTCCCTCCACTGAATAATATCCTTACACTTTTGTTTGTCCAAGAATTTTACAGTGATGTGAAATTAATTTCCAGCCTTGGCTGGAAGGGAGCTGTAGTTATAGGGACGGGTTACTCATACTCATTCACAGGGGACTTGGTCACTCTCAGCAGTGAAGAACCCAAACACTAATTTAAAAATTGAGATAAAAATAGCTATTTCAGGCAAAAAGGTACATACCAGCAGATAATGGATTTGGCTTATTTGCTCTATTTAGACATCAGTGCTTCCTTGCCCGGGAATACTCCCCGCCCAAAGCACCCTGGTGTAACTGTTCACACATCTGCTCCTCAGTCCCTCAGCCATTTGCAGAACTGAAATTCTGCCCCAGACACAGGAGCGTGGCAGCACATTCTTCCCTCGGCCACCCCGCACGGGGCCCCGCCTCTCAGGCATTGCAGCCTCCCTGCAAGGCCTTGAGCTGATGACCTGCTAAGCTTACCTGGACTTCTCCTCCTCCTCCTCCTCCTCCTCCCCTCCACTACCCTCCTTCTTCTTTTAAGATTTTATTTATTTATTTGAGAGGCAGAATTACAGACAGATAGAGGGAGAGACAGAGAGAAAAGTCTTCCATCCTCTGGTTCACTCCCAAAATAACGGCAACGGCCAGAGCTAAGCTGATCTGAAGCCAGGAGCCTGGAACTTCTTCTAGATCTTCTGGGTCTCCCACATGGGTGCAAGCTCTTGGGCCATCTTCCATTGCTTTCCCAGGCCATCGTGGAGAGCTGGATTGGAAGTGGAGCAGCCGGGACTAGAACTGGCGTCCATATGGGATGCTGGCACTTCAAGCAGGGACTTAGGCAACTATACCACAGAGCCAGGCCCTTGCCTAAAAACTGTGAGATAAAAAATGTGCATTGTTTTGAGCTGCTGTGTTTATCCTAATTTTTTTTTTTTAATTTGAAGGACAGCGTTACAGAGAGAGATAGAGACACAGAGAGGTCTTCCATCTGCTGATTCACTTCCCAAATGGCTGCAACAGCTGGAGCTGAGCCGATCCAAAGGCAGGAACCAGGAGATTCATCTGGGTTTCCCACGTGAGTGCAGGAGCCCAAGGACTTGGACCATCATCTGTTGGGAGCCGGTTTTTAAGTGGAGCAGCAAGGACTTGAACTGGCACCCATATGGGATGCCAGCGCTGCAGGCTGGGGCTTTAATCTGTTGTGTCACAGTACTGGCTCCCTCATCCTAATCTTTAGTGCAGTGATAGATGACTGTTACCATTGTGAAATCGCATGACTTTTGCCAATGTCTCAGGGCTAAAGCAGTTGCCAGTTGCTGAATTTTCCTTGTCATGGAGGGCACTGAAATGTCATTCCACTAGCCAAGAGAACTCGGGATACAATTTCTCAGTTAGAACGATTGACCAAAAGCTAATAAAATCATCTCCATTACAAGCTAGGACTTAACTGATGTATCCTGAAGTCTGTTTTTATTACTAAATGGTTTTTTACATTTTTATTTATCTATTTTAATTTTATTGGAAGTCAGCAGAGGGACAGACAAAGAGACAGAGAGAAATGTTTCCTCCACTGATTCCGTCTCCAAGTGCCTGCAACAGCCGGGTCTGGGCAGGCTGAACCCAGGAACCCAGTTCATGTCACCCACATGGGTGGCAGGGACCCAACTACTTGAGCTGTCACCTTTTACATCCTGGGGTGTGCATTAGCAGGAAGCTGGATCAGAAGCAGGGTACTGGACATGTGAACTGTGCACTCCAGTATGGGATGCAGGAGTCCCAAACAGCATCTTAGCTGCTAGGCCGATCACCCCACCCGACAAAAAATGTGTGAAGATAGGGGGTGTAGCCATTCTCCTGGACTGTCCTGGGGACCCAGGGCTGATGGTCCACCAGGTTTCTTTCAGTTTCTAAAAGCTTCCAGGGGAGGGATGCACTGTGGGGGAGGAGCTTCTGTTGTTTTTGCAGAAAACCTATTTATTGGGAAGCAGATACTTTGAAAGCACTTGCGTTTTGAGGCCAGTCATGTGACTCAGCTAACAGAAGCAAACAAGGCCCGGGGTGCCTTGATTTCAAGAACGGGTGTCACCAACAAAGAGTGCTCCTAGAACACTAATGTTGCGCCCAGCGCTGTGGCCTAGCAGGTAAAGCTACCTCCTGCCAGCATCCCATATAGGCACCAGTTCGAGTCCTGGCTGCTCCACTTCCCATCCATCTCTCTGCTATGGCCTGGGAAAGCAGTGAAGGATGGCCCAAGTCCTTGGGCACCTGCACCCACGTGGGAGACCCGGAAGAAGCTCCTGGCTCCTGGCTTTGGATTGGCCCAGCTCTGGTCGTTGCGGCCATTTGGAGAGTGAAATAGCAAATGGAAGACATCTCTCTCTGCCTCTCTGTAACTCTGCCTTTCAAATAAATAAATAAATAAATATTTAAAACAAGCAAAAAACCACCAATGTCCGGGCCTCAGATGTGAGGCCCTTCCATAAGGTTGCAGCATGGAGGATAAGTCTCCTGCAACTCTAATTTACTCTTGTGTTTTATTACGTGCTATGACTTGCATCAAGTTCCTTTCAGAAACACATATCACTACTTTGATAATAACAGGACTAATAAAATAGATGGTGATAATCCTTACTACTGTTTGTCCACTTACTCTGTGCTGTGCAATGCGTTAAATAACTGATGTAGATTACTTCAGGAAATAAATACCCTTTAACGGGACTCTGGTTAAAAAGAACCATATCTAACCATCTCCCAGAGGAGGAAACTGGGGATGGTGAGACATGCCTTAGCCAAGGTCACACGACTATGTAGAAAGGGGCAGGCAGGCCCACAGCAATTTGTAAATTCAGAATTGGGTTTGCCCCATTATTACAGGAACTTGGCGGCATGGAAATTATTGTTACCTCGGTTCTTGGTCTCACCCGGAAGAAGAATTTCCAAGAGATCTAAAAGGGTTTAGTAGAATCAAGAACCTCCAGCCAGAGTGGTGTGGAGGGGGCATCCAGGAGAGGAAAACAAAGGGGACTGGTGGCAGTGGGCTTTAAGTACAATTTCAAAGGAAAAAAAAAAAAACTTGGCAATCAGATTGGCATTTGGGTGGGGACAAAAACTGTCCTAAGACCTTATTTACAATTCTCCATCCAGTCTGGCCTGCTAAGGGTGGGGTAGATAACTTGTTTTCACAATAAGCCGGGAGCTCAGGAGGAGCTTCCTTGCTAATCTCATGGTAAATTTGGTGATTCTGGAAGGAAGGAGGGCAGGCTGTTTGTTCTTGTTAAAAATAACGTTTTTGGGGAAGGAAGCAAATATTTTACACCCCAAATTCCATTGGGGTCCCCTAGCTATTAACCCATCTGACTCCTCACACCATCACAAAATGTGAGAAGTCCTACAAGCAGGTGCCTGGTTTCCTCTGCCCTCCCCCCCCCCCTTTCCCCTTGCTAAATGGTAGCCATGAGCATCAGAACTCCTGGGCCCGGTAAATCACGGAGGCTGAGAACACTCTTCACAAGCTTGACTCAGACACCTACATGGATGTTTCCTGCAGCATTATCCAAACAGCCAAAAGGGAGACACAACTCACCCTCCATCAATGGACAAATGAAGAAGCAAAATGTAGGATTCAAAAGGATGCTTCCAAAAGTCTGTGGAAGAATTGGATTAAAAGATGAATTTGTTCTGGTGCAAACATTTTGAAATCCATGCATAGTTTTTCCATAATATGCATTTTCTGTGTGTGTGTGTGTGTGTGTGTTTTTTTTTTTTTTGAAGTACCTTCATGCATACAGTGGAGTATTTTTCAGCCATAAAAAGGATGAAGTTCTGAGACATGTGACAACATAGACGAATCTAAAAACATGCCAGGTGAAATATGTCAGACGCCAAACGTCAGAACTTGTATGATCCTCTTCACCTAAAACACACACAATATGCCCAAGGAGCCAGGCAGAACAGAGGTTCCCTGGGTGCTGTGGTGGGAGAGGAGGAATTGGGATTTACTGCTTAATCCCGGGTGCTGGAAGAACTTTGGAGATAGTGGTGATGTTGTGATGTTGCAAAAACACTGTGAACATAGTTAATGACACTTCAAAGTAGTTACAATGGCGAATCTTATGTTACACATACTTTGCTATGGTTAAACACAAGATTGTGTAGAATCAAATTCTCAATTGTGTACAGCACACGTTCCAACCTCTTGAGAAGAGCTTGCCTTGAAAGGGTAGAGACTCTCAAAACCTGTTAGTAGGAAGATAAACTGGTAAGAAACCTTTGAGTAGGAAAAACAAAAGCCCTGGTATTGCATAAGAGGGGAAAAGGCCCACTCATTCCCAAAGAAGAGCTTTGGGTGAGCCCCACATCAAAGTTTGTGTTGCTTTCTTCTGCAAAAAAATGAAACCGGGCCCTAAGGCTACAGCAAAGCTTTAGACAAACTAGAGAAGAAAAAAAATTCATCTCCGGAGCTGCTACAGCTTCCCCTCCCCCAGCCCAGGCATTTCTTGGCAGCTGTAAGGTTAACCCTGTAAATGCTAAATTTGCTGTGGTGGGAAATGGCACAGAAAGGAAATTTAAAAAATGGCTTTGTACTTTATGGCTATTGCATATGCATCTGATAAAATATTTACATGGTATAATATTTTATGCTTCCAATCTCATGTCAGAGTGATCATCCTCATTAGGAGAGCAGTCCAAACAAAACAAAACAAATCTCCAAATGGAATCTTGGGTATTAAAAGAAGTTAAGTTCCCATTTCTGATGATTTTTGATCGACTGTTTGCTGATTGGAAATTCTGACAAAAAGCAGACAAATTGAAGAAAGGTAATCTCTAAATGGGATTTTTAGTTGCTGATCAGCTTTTGTAAACTAAGGTGGCTCCTGTGAGGCTGGTCATTTCCAGGCCTCTGTGCGTGTTTCTGAGCTGACCGATTTGGACGCTAACAAGTCACACTGGGCTTGTTTGCTTGTCACTGAGTCACGGAACACAGAACAGAAGCCCAGGCTGTTTTGGGGAATATGCAATCACAGCCGCTTATCGCCTGGACTTGACTCCACGCTGAAACCTGATGCCACCTGCTGCGGGGCTGGTTCAGCCTCCTTGCAAACTGTGCTGAACTGGAAGCCTGCAGAGCCAGGTACACAAAGCTCAGACCCCACACATCTTTGTGGTTCCCCAAACTACGAAAACAAGCATGGATGCCGGCTGGCTTGTCTAGGGAACATACAAATGCCCACAAGAAAGGACTTGTTCTGTAATGGGACCCATCTGCAGTGAGGCTTCTGATGCATCCTGTGTTTCTGACACAAAAACTAATTGCATTCCTTACTTGTGATTTCTGCCCCAAACCACAAGCTGGTGTGGACAGATCACAGGGACCTTGAACTCCCCGCCCATTCCTGGCAGCCTGCACTCTTGACCTCCTTTTCCGAATGTCTCGTGGCTGTCTGTTGATCACTGTATTCAGCTTTTCGGATTGCAACAACGGACTGCTAAACTGACTCACCTTTCTTCATCCTACTCCTGGTCCGCTTGCTTTAGGAAAGTGGGTTGACCATTAAGTGAAGATCCTTGCAAGGAAAGGATTAATCTCGGCTAGGCTGCTAGCTGGATGAGTCACCAGGACAAAGGGGTGGGAGGCTACGTAAACATATTTTGAAATCTGTAAAATTCATGGTTTTGTCCTGTCCAATTCCTGGACGTGACATGTCTTAAACTAACTTGCATAAAGATGTGTGTGTGTGTGTGTGTGTGTGTGTGTGCCAATGAGTTTATTCTTCTTGCACGCAATGCTTCCTGAGGAAACGTCTGGGTGGGAATAGGGCATGATTTGTAAAGTGTAGTTATTTTTGCTAAAAAGGACCCACTGATTTTGCAACAATGAACCGGGAGAGAGAAAGAGGGAGAAACAACCCAGTTCCCCCGGAAGGCAGAGGGAAGAGGCAGGCATTAATGATCTTCTGTTTTAAGCCGGCGCTGTGGCTCACTAGGCTAAAAAAAATAAAATAAAAACATTTATTAAAAAAAAGATCTTCTGTTTTTTGTTTTCTCAAAACTATTTCCTCCTCTGAAAGAAAAACTCTGTGCTGGTCTACCTAGCTGCTGAGCCTGTTTTGAATTCAGACTGCCCGCTGAACTGATCAGGTGGGACCGTGCTGGTGCCTGTCAGAGAAAACCCAGAGTCAGACAAAAGTCAAAGCAGGGAAAGCAAGTTTTCCTGAGGAACTGTTGCAAAAGGGGGAAGAGAGACCGCAGCTGCTGCTGCTGCTGCTACTTCTGCTTCTTTGTCTCATTTTTATTTTTTATTTATTTATTTATTTATTTTTTGACAGACAGAGTGGACAGTGAGAGAGAGAGAGAGAGACAGAGAGAAAGGTCTTCCTTTGCCGTTGGTTCACCCTCCAATGGCCGCCGCGGCCAGCGCACCGCGGCCAGCGCACCGCGCTGATCCGAAGCCAGGAGCCAGGTGCTTCTCCTGGTCTCCCATGGGGTGCAGGGCCCAAGCACTTGGGCCATCCTCCACTGCACTCCCTGGCCACAGCAGAGAGCTGGCCTGGAAGAGGGGCAACCGGGACAGAATCTGGCGCCCCGACCGGGACTAGAACCCGGTGTGCCGGCGCCGCTGGGTGAGCCGCGGCGCCGTCCCTTTGTCTCAATTTTAAAGATGTTATTTATTTGAAAGGCCGAGTTACAGAGAGAGGGAGAGAGAAAGAGAGACCTTTTATCTGCTGGTTCACTGCCCAATTGGCTGCAACAGCCAGGGCTGGGCCAGGCTGAAGTCAGGAGCCAGGAGCTTCTTCTGGGTCTCCCACATGGATGCAGGGGCCCAAGGACTTGGGCCATCTTCTACTGCTTTTCCAGGCCATAGCAGGGAGCTGGATCAGAAGAGCAGCAGCTGGGACTAGAACTGTTGCCAATATGGGATGCTGGCGCTTCAGGCCAGGGCTTTTAACCTGCTGAGCCACAGTGCTGGCCCCCTGACTTGACATTTCAAGGAATCTTTGTCACTGAAACTGCAGGAGAGGTTCTGTGACAGTTAGAGGCTAATAGGTGGTTAGGACAGGTCCATGTTGGAACTAGAAAAGGGGGAGTGTAAGGCCGCCACAAAACGCACCAACACTGGAGTAAGGGAAAGAGTTTATTGGGGGAAACCTGTCAGACTGGAGGGAAGGGGCGAGGAAAGAAAAGAGAGAGAAGGAGAGTGTAAGAGAGACGGAGGTCAGGAGAAGGGGGGGGCGAGCCACAAGTTCAGGGACAGGTCCTTTCAAAACTTTGTGTGGGGGGGCATGGAAGTAGGAGCAGTGAATCCCAGTGGGATGGGATAGAGCTTGACACTGGTGGTTATGTGGCCACCTGGCTTCCAGCAATGGCAGTGGGGGCTAGAGCCTAGGATGGTGTCAGGGTGTACATCATGCCATAGATAAGACTGCGCCATTTTACTAACAGGGAGTCCCTTTAAGAGTGGCAAGACAGGGACTGTTGCTGTGGCATAGTAGGCTTAAGCCTCTGTCTGCAGAGCTGGCATCCCATATGGGTGCCTGTTCCAGTCTCAGCTGCTCTGCTTCTCATGTGGTTCCCTGCTAATGCACCTGGGAAAGCAGCAGAAGATGGCCCAAGTCCTTGGGCCCCTGCACTCATGTGGGAGACCTGGAAGAAGCGCCTGGAGCCTGGCTTTGGATTGGCCTAGCCCTGGCCGTTGCGGCCATTTGAGGAGTGAGCCAGTGGATGGAAGACCTCTCTTTGTCTCTCCCTGTCCCTGTCTATAGCTCCACCTCTCAAATAAGTAAATAAATCTTAAAAAAAGTGGACAAGATGCATGCTTCTCCCCAGAAGCTGCCTTTAGCAAGACAAAGTTGCTGATCCCACCTTTCTGAGTTTCCAGTTTTATCATGAAAATAGAAAGAGCTTACCTAGCCCATCCTTTTGATGGCTTTTATTTTATCAGGAGCAGACTAGACAGGATCACAGTTCAGGTCCTCTGATGGATTTTGTCCCTGCCCTTTGATTGATCATTCCCTGAATTGTGCTTAAAAGATACCGCGTCCACCACCGGTTTCTTGGGTCTGTGTCTCTTGGAGCGCCCTCCTGGCTGCTGGGGCAGGAGGTTACTGACAGCTGTGGGCAGCCACAGGTAGTCGCTCCCTTTGTTTACACTTAAACATATGAATGGAGACTTCCCAGCACAGATAATTAGGCTAGGGAGATTCCGGGAAGAGGCAGGAAGAACCTAAACCCCTCACAAGAGATGATATAGATAGTCACACCTGAAACCTGCATTTATCACCTAAGTGTTTTATTGTAACCTTAAGAGCCTTTTTGATATGTAAATCTTTTGTGCTCCTTCTTGTAAACAACTGGTCCTGTTTAAATACTACTGGATTTATTCAATAAACGAGCCTTGATCAGGACTTGTCTTGGCTCCATTCTTTGCGTCCTTGTCCCCGCATTCCCACTGTTTCAGGAAGACCCAGTTCATTGTGCCACAGGCTGGCACAGACAACAATAAATCTTGCTTTGTTTCCTGCCTTGTCTGCACGGAGATTCTTCTTCCGTGTGAGACAGCACTGAGGTCACTCCTCTTTGTCGCCATTTTCCCTTAACAGTTCCAGCTCCTGCATTTTTCATGCAGAACACCTCCTGATGTCCACACTCCGGAGACAGCTGAAATGCTGTTTGGAGCCAGCTGTCTTCTTGTGGTCCCTCTAAGTCCAAGGACTCAACAATTTCAGACTGCACTAGCACTCCTGGGGCAGAGGCCACACTGTGGGAAGCCACATTAGACACTGTTAACCTGTGCTGCCTCATGCATATCTCACTTGGGGTGCACTAACAGTTGGGATGCTCTCTGGGACTCCTTTGAGTGTAACTTATCATGCTACTGCTTCCGCCTGGAAGGCAGGCAGGTCAGCTTCAACTTACTCTCTGGGCTTATTCTTGTCAAAAATATTTTATAGAAGAACTTGCACTCAAACCACCTGGCTTTCTAAGATCAAGGTTTATAATGATTGGGACTTGTTTTAACCTCTTTGGAACATAACTGAGATCAATCATGAAGGTTGGTCTTGCTTTGTTGCACGGAGTCCTACTGCTGATAATTTCTATAAAATAGTTTGACCAAGGGCCAAGGTGGATAGACTGTGCTGCAGCGTTAATGGAGCCAGGCCCAAGATAATCAGCGTTAGAAATGCCTGCTTGCCAGGACAGTCCTGGGCTTGCTCTGGGAACTAGTTTTACAAGGCTTACTGCATCTAAATGGTTGGTGCACAGCATGTGTTTTAGGCTGTTTCTTTCTGGGAGTCTGGGGAGTCTCTGTGGCTATTTACCAGCATGGGGCCCTGAGTCTCTAGAATGCTACCCTGGATATAAACTGAGACCACACACATGTAAAGTGTTGCCTTACATCATTGCTGGAGGAGTTAAGTGGGTCCTGGGCAGCACTGCTGGGAGAGGGTCTTGGAAGCCATGCTTGATTTGCTCTGGATTTCTCCCTGCTGATTCTTTGCATCCTTTCACTGTGATATACAGTGGCCAGAGTACAGCAACTCCTGGGTCCCATGAGTCTTTCTCATTGGACTTGAAGGTGATCTTGGGGACTCTCACACAAGCCTTTCTTTAAACTGGTTCTTTTTGTAGAAATATGTGAAATCTGGGGCTGGTGTTTTGGGGTAGCAGGTAAAGCCACCGCCTGCAGTGCTGGCATCCCATATGGGTGCCGGTTCAAGTCCCAGCTGCTCCATTTCTGATTCAGCTCTCTGCTATAGCCTGGGAAAGCAGCAGAGGATGGCCCAAGTCCTTGGGCCTCTCTGTAACTCTGCCTTTCAAATAAAATAAATAAATCTTTAAAAAAATAAAAAGAAAGAAAGAAAGAAAGAAATGAACAGAAAGAAATGAACAGAAAGAAATGAACAGAAAGAAAGAAAGAAAGAAAGAAAGAAAGAAAGAAAGAGAAAGCATAAGGAAAGAGGAAAGACCCTAGGCCTTCCAGGCAAAGTTCATTTGGGCCCTCATTTAGGTTCTCCGTGGTAGATGTCATCTTAGCATTCGCCACTGGGGACTCACAACTCAATATCACTCCTCCTGGACGCATATCCCAGAGATCCAGTACAGAGAGGCAGAGGCAGAGAGAGGGAGAAGACATCCACTGGTTCACTCCCCAAATGGCCGCAATGGCCAGAGCTGTGCCAATTCGGAGTCAAGAGCCAGGAGCTTCTTCCGGGTCTCCTACGTGGGTACAGGGGCTCAAGGACTTGGGCCATCTTCTACTGCTTTCCCAGGCCATAGCAGAGAGCTGGATCAGAAGTGGAGCAGCTAGGACTGGAACTGGCACCCATATAGGATGCCAGCACTGCAGGTGGTGGCTTTACCCACTTTGCCACAGCACTGGACCCTTCTGTTCATTTCTTTTTTTTTTTTATGCAATAATGTCTTTTATTATGTATGTTTTTATTTTTCTCCAGTATTTCCTCAATCTGTATACATAGGCAAAAGTATGCTGTTTGACATTGGACTGCAAACTTTATCACTGCCTGGAAAAGGAACAATTGGCCCTAACACATGCTTAACCAGGGGGCCAGTTCATCTGCCGACCCCCAAGAACATGAAGATGAACATGATAGACAGACTGTCCGCCATCGGAGCCCTCATTCACCACCATTCGGTAACCCTTCTTTAGGCCCAGGTCAGCAGCACATTTCTTGCCAACAATCATTAAATGTCCAAGAAGACTTTCATCAGCATCCTCTGCTGCAGAAATCTGGGATATATGTTTCTCAGGTATCACCAGAAAATGTGTTGGTGCTTGAGGGGAAATGTCATGGAAAGCAAGACACTGGTCATCCTCGAAAATGATTTTGGCTGGGATTTCCTTGCGGATGATCTTCCCGAAGATCGTGTCGCCACCAGGCCGGACGACCTGAGCCTTGAAGATCTCATCTGCCATCTCAGGCTGCCTCCCGCGCACCGCGCACTGGCCACAGGAGAACCGCAGAGGAGGGAGGAAGCTGCAGAGCCGGCAGAGGGTGGGAGTGCCTCCCTTCTGTTCATTTCTATTTGCTGTCTCCTTCAGCTGTTAAAACTGTAATCAGTGTATTGTAACATTTTTGTTAGACTCTTTATACGAGAGTATTCTTCAGCTTTTGATCACTCTATTGAAATATCTAGGCAACTAACTTTATAAAGTAAAAAGCTATAACTAGCTCACAGTTTTGGAGGCCCAAGTTCAAGACTGGGCAGCCCCCTTGGCTCGGCCTCTGTGAGGGCAAGGGTTCGCATTGGTGGAGCAGTGCAGAGGAAGGAGCCTCCACGGTGCTCTCGGGAGCAGAGGGAGTGGTAGACCCAAACGCAGGCTTTTTTAACTACCCCTCCCTGAGAACTACTCTAAGGGACAATGTCCTCAATGCCCTAGACCCCACCTCCTACATGTTCTGTTGTGGGGCGCACAGATTAAAAACACAGCGATGCTTTGAGGTCAAATTAGGAGTCTTCATTAGCCAGCTGGCCACTGCTCTCTCACAGAGCGAGTCTGGAGAAGACGACCCCGAGTTGCAGTGCTGGGGGGTTTTTAAAGGCAAAAAAATTATGCGTGAGGGCTAGTGCAAGCAGAAAGCAGGCATACAGAAGCGAGAAGCAGTTAGCCAATCAGACAGTTTCTTTGTAACCTTATTGAAAAATGTAACAATTCAAGTATTCAGTTGTTCTTGGTCGGGGTCAAGCATGCTCTCACGGACCTTGGCACCCCCTGTGCTGTCCCCTGGCTGCAGCCGGGAGAAGACAGAGGAAACCACAGTCTGGTGGCCTTGGCCATTATCAAGCAAGCTGAGGTGCGGAAGCCAGAATGGGCCAGTTAAAAACATTTATTTTTATCAACAACAGGCCCTGCTTTTAAAACAACCAAGTTATAGTCTATAACCACCCAGGTGTGCTATACCATGTAGACAGTTTAAACTTTTGAGTCACCTGTCACAGTTCCATCTCCTCCGGATAGTGCCACTCTGGGAACCAAGTCTTTAACGCATGGGCCTTTGGGTGGGGGATCGGAGGAGCATTTAACCTCCACACTAATAGACAAACTATAGCAAGTAGGAACACTTTTCACACAGGTCTACTGGATTGTAGGTTCAGATTTCCTGTTGGTCCAATTCAGAAGTCTTGGTTTATTTTTTTTTTCAGGAGTTGATAGTTTGATTTCTGGTCCTTTCTATTATTCTCCTTCTATGGAACATAGCACCAGATCTGAGCAGTTTTATAAGCAAGTGAATGACTTACCATAAAATGCCAGTTCCTTCAGGAAGTTCTAGCCCTAGGATACAGAGGGTCTTTGAGGAGAGGCATTGTGCCTCCTCTGTGGTCCTGTGGGGTAAACAAGTGGCTGACAGGTGGCTAGTCCTCCCGTAAAGTCTTACCTGCCAGCCAGACTTGGGAGAAGGGCCTGGGGTGGTCCTCAGCAATAAGGCTTACGTTTGAGGGAATGTCAAAAAGTTCATGGAAAAATGGAATTAAAAGATAAAGTTATTTTGGGGCAAGAAAATGAAATTCATGGGTGGTTTTTCAAAATGCACATTATCTATGAACTTTTTAAATAGATTCTTTTAATGTATGGATTTAGAAAGATTTTACAGGAATCAGTGTTGTGGTGTAGCAGGTAAAGCCACCGCCTGTAGTGCTGGCATCCCATATGAGCCCTGGCTGCTCCACTTCCGATCCAAGTCCCTGCTAATGGCCTGGGGAAAGCAATCGAAGATGGCTCAAGTGCCCCTACACCCATGTGGGAGACCTGGATGAAGCTCCTGAGTCGGCTTTAACCCTGGCTGTTGTGGCCATCTGGGTAGTGAACCAGTGGTTGGAAGACCTCTCTCTCTCTCTCTCTCTCTCTGTGTGTGTCTCTCCCTCTTTCCCTGTAACTCTGACTTTCAAAATAAATAAATGGGCCTTAAAATTTTTTTTTGCACCAAAATAAACTTGCTTTTAATTCCATTTTCTGTGAACTTTGTGAAGCACCCTCAGATATAAAATTGTCTCCTCTATCCCTTTCGATATATCAGTTGAGACACAACTTGATTTCTGGTTATGAGGCTCGTGTATATATATATATATATATATATAATCTATATTTCACATTTTAATTCCCAAGAGACAGAAGGCTACTGTTGCTTTGGGGCGGGAGCTGTGCTAATGCCTAAATGTGGCTGGGTCACTTCAGACACAATCAATCTGCAGAGCAGCTTTGCTGTCAGAAGATGAACTCGATTGAACACAATTTCATTATTTTTACTGATTCAGTTAAAAGACTGTCCATGGAAAGTACATGAAACACTAAATTAAAATATATTTGGGCATCCCTAACTTAGAGCTGATAGCACAAGATTAAAGGTTTGTTTTTTTTTTTTTTTTTAGATTTACCCACACAGCTAGGACTGGGCCAGTCCAAACCAGGATACCAGGAACTCAGTCTGGGTCTCCTACATGGGTGGTAGAGACCCAAGTACTTGGATTGTCACGTGCTACCTCCCAGGGTTTGCATTGGCAGGAAGCTGGAGTCCAGAGCCTGAGCAAAGAATTGAACACAGGCACTCCAGTGTAGGAGCAGGTAGCTTAACCACTAGACTAAATACCCACTCCTAACATTCAATTAAAAAAAAAGTTTGAACTCTGCCACTGACTGGCATGGTTGATTAGTCAGAACTGTCGCTAGTGAAATTGTATTTCAGCAGGTATAATAGGACAGAAGAAATAAAGAACACTGCAGGTTAAGGTCAGTGATGAAAATTTAACTTAGCAGTGTCTCCTGGTTGTCATTCTGAGACAAAAAAACTATTGGTTTATTCACTATCATTTTGTTTCCTCAACACTGTGCTATGTAAATAGTCCTCCATATTGCACTGATATATTCACACACATATAAAGTCAGAGAATAGAAGTCGATGGTGGTTGCTATAGGAGAACTGAGTCTCAGAATCTTGGCAGAGGGATTATGGTTTGAACAGGATGGGAGAGAATAATGGAAGTTTAAGTGTATTTCTGTGATACTTCAAGACCTTAAATTCTAATATTATAAATTAGTTTAGAGCAACAGATGAGTTTTTTGACTCACAAAACCAGAAGAAGGACTAAACAACTCTGATGTAGGAGGATGATAGGAGACATGTGGTCTTGGTTAAAACTAGAGTTAGATATTAACTGTTGTTATCTATTAGTATTTCCTCTGTCAGTAATTTTTCATCATTTTTTTCTTCACTTTTCCCCAGTGATTTAATTTTCTTTTATATTTTAAGATTTATTTATTTTATTTGAAACTAGGAGTTACACAGAGAGAGAAAGAGAGGCAGAGGCAGAGAGAGAGAGAGGTCTTTCATCCACTGGTTCACTCCCTAGTTGGCTGTAACAGCCAGAGTTGCACCGATCTGAAGCCAGGAGCCAGGAGCTTCCTCCTGGTCCCCCACACAGGTACAGGGGCCCAAGTCCTTGGGCCATCCTCCACTGCTTTTCCAGGCCATAGCAGAGAGCTGGATTGGAGGTGGAGCAGCTGGGACTCGAACCGGCACCCATATAGGAGCCAGCGCTGCAGGCAGCAGCTTTACCCGATATGCCACAGCACTGGCCCCCAAAATGATTTCATTTTCAAAATTCCCAGGAAAAAGTTACGATTGGTCACTGATGGAGAAGTAATCATATGTGGTCCATCTAGCTATAGACAGGGGATAAACTTAATTACATTTTCATCACTGGTGTTAACTCAGACCAATTGGAACCATTCTGGTCAGGCAGAGAATTGCCATCTCACAGTAAAAGAGTTTTTTTTTTTTTTTTGACAGGCAGAGTGGACAGTGAGAGAGAGACAGAGAGAGAAAGGTCTTCCTTTGCCGTTGATTCACCCTCCAATGGCCGCCGCTGCAGCCGGCGCACCGCGCTGATCCGATGGCAGGAGCCAGGATTCAGGTGCTTTTCCTGGTCTCCCATGGGGTGCAGGGCCCAAGCACCTGGGCCATCCTCCACTGCACTCCCTGGCCATAGCAGAGAGCTGGCCTGGAAGAGGGGCAACCGGGACAGAATCCGGTGCCCCGACCGGGACTAGAACCCGGTGTGCCGGCGCCGCAAGGTGGAGGATTAGCCTATTGAGCCACGGCGCCGGCCCAGTAAAAGAGTTTTGAGGCAATGTTCAGGTGATACGCAGGCACTAAGTTAGAAGGCAATGGAAAAATCATCACTGGAGACTCTGAAATGGAAGCAGGGCCAGGACTCAAACACAGAGGCAGAGTTAGACAGAGAGAAAGGTCTTCCTTTTTCCATTGGTTCACTCCGCCAGTGGCCACTACGGCTGCCACGTTACGGCCAGCGCACTGCACCAATCCGAAGCCAGGAGCCAGGTGCTTCTCCTGGTCTCCCATGCAGGTGCAGGGCCATCCTCCACTGCCCTCCTGGGCCACAGGAGAGAGCTGGACTGGAAGACGAGCAGCCAGGACAGAACCGGTGCACCAACTGGGACTAGAACCTTGGGTGCTGGCGCCGCAGGCGAAGGATTAGCCTAGTGAGCCGTGGCGCCGACCTCAAACCCAAACATTCTAATATGGGATGCAGGAAGTCGCAGAGTGGCATCTTAACTGCTATACCCAGATTATAGATTTTATTTTTTATTATAATTTTTTAATTTATTTGTTTGAGATAGAGTTATGGACAGAGAGAAATCTTCCCTCTGTTGGTTCACTCTGCAAATGGCTGCAACGTCCAGGGCTGGACCAGGCCAAAGCCAGGAGCCAGGAGCTTCTTCCCGGTCTCCCATGTATGTGGCAGGGGCCCAGGCACTCGGGCCATCTTCCACTGCTTTCCCTGGCCACAGCAGAGAGCTGGATCAGAAGAGGAGCAGTTGGGATATGAACTGGCTTCCATATGTGATGTCAGCACTACAGGCAGAGGCTTTGCCTACTACCCCACAGGGCTGACCCCTAGATTATATATTTTAAAAATCA